GGACAGCACTGGCCTAGGCCACATCAGACGGCATCTCCTTGAAGAAGTCTTTTCTAGTCATTAGTCTCAGCACAGTGGCTTCCTAAAATCTTGCCTGATACTTTCTACATAGGATTTCATAAATCAGTACTATCTTCCTCATTCCCTGCCCTGAAAGACTCTAAGTTTTTCTTTTCATCTTTTTTTTTGAGACAGAGTCTCACTTTGTTGCCCTGGGTAGAGTGCTGTGGCATCGTAGCTCACACCAAACTCAAACTCTTGGGCCTCAAGCGATCCTCTTGCCTCAGTCTCCCCAGTAGCTGCAACTACAGTCGGCCATCGTAACACTCAGCTGGTTTATTTTTAGAGATGGGGGTGTTGCTCTTGCTCAGGTTGGTCTTGAACTCCTGAGCTCAGGTGATCCACCCGCCTTGGCCTCCCAAGGGATTACAGGAGTGAGCCACTGTCCCTGGCCCCCAGACTCTAAGTTTTTTAAGGGCAGGGGCCATGTTTTATATTTCCAGAGACTGGCAATGGGAGGTAATCAATACTTGCAAAACAATCAACAGGTGGCTAGCTACATCCAGTTCACGGGTATCTTTAAATATAATCTTATATATGATCAATTTTTAGATTAATTTTCTGTCTGCAGCTTCCTGGAGGTCTAGTCTTCTGGCTCTGTCATGTGCAGCGTCCAACCTGGGGAGCTGCACGGAGCAGCCCTACATGCAAACCTTTCAGCTCTTCCTAGCATCCTGCTCTTAGGTGGGCAGAGCAGAAGTGAGCAGAAAAGGAGGAAAGAAAGCAGGAAGCGAGGAAAGCACGGAGCAAGACTTCTCCCTCCGCCTGCTGTGGCCATGGGAGCTGAGCGTGGCTGCCAAGCAAACCGTGGTGTGGAGTGAAAGGAGTGGAAGGAGACGCCAGGCTGGCTGTGGTATGCCGCTGGGTGGAGTTACAATTTATAACAAGGGAGAGGCAACCGAAGAAAAGAAAGATTCTTTTAAAAATTCTGCTGAAGCCTAATTAAAAAAAAATTCCACTCCCTCATGCTAAGTTTTAAGAGCCTTCCCTTTCAGAATTATTTTCAGTCTGGTGGTAACAGGCAGGAAGAGTGTCAGATGTTCACCAAGCTATAAAGAGGACACTCCCCACACCCTAAAACACAGGGCTGGCCCACATCACTTTTCTGACTCGGGTTATGAGGATACAGGATGTGAAGTTGTCAAGGCAGAGATCTTTCCGGAAAGGAGTGTCCTGTGTGGCAGATTGAAAAAAAATATGGATGTAGTATTTTACTGTTCCTCCCACCAAGAGGTGGGGTCAGTTTTGCCAGCCCTGAATCAGGGTTACACTCATTGGACATTAGAGGGCCCGATGTAAGTGGAAGCTTAAAAAATGCTCACACACCAAACCTTTCTCTCTTTGGCATTTTTGGAACCCAGCCACCATGTGAAGAAGTCTGGGCTGGCTTGCTAGACACTGCAGACTTATGGCCTGGTCAGTCTTGTAGAAACCGACCAGCTTCCAACACATAAGTGACACCATTTGGGACCACCTGGCCTCAGGTGATCCCCTAGCTGACTGTAGCTGCCTCTCAAGCAAGTTCAGGTGAATCCAGCAGAAGAACTTCCCAGCTAAGCCCAACACAGATTGCCAATCCCTAGAACTGTGAGCTAAAAAGTGATTGTTGCTTTAAGCCTGTAGGCTTGGGGTATTTTTTTTTTTTTCTTTTGTGAGAGATTCTGACTTTCTTGCCCAGGCTAGAGTGCAGTGGCATCATCATAGTTTACTGCAACCTCAAAACTGTGTTCAAGTGATCCTTCTGCCTCAGCCTATTGAGTAGTAGGACGATAGGTGAGTGCCACCAGGCCTGGCTAACTAATTACTTTTTTTTTGTAGAGACAGTACTTCTAGCCCCAAGCAATCCTCTGTCCTCGGCCTCCCAAAGTGCTGGAATTACAGGTGTTAGTCACCTCATCCAGCCTTTTTTTTTTTTTTAATGTGGTGTTATGGCTGAATGTCTGTTTTCCCCCAAATTCATAAGCTGAATCCTAATCTCCAGTGTAGTGGTATTAAAGGCAAGGTGTTTTGGATATAATTAGATCATGAAGGTAGAGCCCTCATGAATGGGATTAGGGGCCTCAGGAGGCCTACGGGAGCTTGTTTGCCCTTTTCATCATGCGAGGACATAAGCACACAGCAAGCAGGTGCCAGTTATAAGGAACTGCAAATAGTAAATTTCTGCTGTTCATAAGCTACCTAGTTGATGATATTTTTGTTATAGTAGCCTGAATGAATGAAGACACGTAGCAAAGGAAACCTCTCAGTATATCCTAAGAGGTGAGGAGGAAATCCACGGAGAAAGAGCCACCTTACTACTTAGGGAGTTACTGTAATATGCTTCTGTTCAGGCTGCTGTAACAAAATGTCATATGCTGGGTAGCTTTTAAATAGCAGAATTCAGTTTTTGTAGTTCTGGAGGCTGGGAAGGCCAAGGTGAAGGTGCAGGTGCTAGCACCAGATTTGGCTTTTGGAGAAGGCCAGCTTTGGGGTTCACAGATGAGCTCCTGGCTGTGTCCTCCTGCGGCGGAAGAGGCGAGCTACCTCTCAGGGTCTCTTTTATACGGGTATGAATTCCATTCTTGAGGGTGCCAGCCCTGTGACCTAATCACCTATGAGAGTCTCCTAATTCCATCGCATTGAGGGTTAAGTCACCACATTTGGATCACAGCTTAGAGTGACTCAGAGCATGAGCTCTGGAGCCAGACAGATGTGGTCCTACTACTCGCTTGATGTGACCTTGGACTCCTTTGGTGAGAATGGTAACAATGAACAACAGGACTGTCGTGAGAATTGTCAACCAGAATGACATCTGTGTGAGGCTACTTTGGAGGAGAGTTTATATAAGGACCATTGGATCCGTAAGGTGTGATCAGGGTTCAGAGAACCACAGGAAGAGTATAGTGCCCTGGGGCACAATACCACCCAGCTGTGGAGAGGCAAGGAGAGCCCACAGTGACCAGAAGCTGCAGACAGAGCAGAGAGGACAGAGAGATCTGCTGAACAGAAGCCACAACCTTACCCTGAGTGAGAAGCTCATTCTGCACTGCTGTGACCTAGGAGAGCCTGGGGCAATTAAATTTGGGCCTAACCTCTTCCCCCCACCCACCTCTTCATTAGCCAAGTGCAATTGGAAGCCACCAGAGGTACCGACCAGTCTCTTGTGGCAAAAAGCAAGGTGGAGTAGGAGAGAGCATAGATCTGGGGAAATGGAAGGTGCCCTGCCTGAGGGAGTAAGAGTAATGTCCCTACATAAAAGCACTGAGCATGTGCCTGATTGCTGTAATTACATTATCAGTAGAAACCAGGGGCTGTGGTGGCAGAAGAGGATGTGAGCAATTCTTGCCAGGGTGACCTACAGAATATCCCTGAAGAGGTCTGCTTTAGGGAGTGGCTCGCCTGGGGGGAATGAAGGAAATGTTAACAGTGATACAAGCAAACACTGACACGGAATCCACATGCAGGTAGCATTCGGGATTCCTTACTATATTAATCCATCTAATCCTCATACTCACTTTATGGGGTGGGTAGTATTATTATCCCCATTTCACAGATGAGAAATCCAGTCAGAGAGAAGTCAGGTAACTCAACCAAGGTCACACAGCTAAGAAGCAGTGAAGTCAGGATTTGAGTCATTAATCCTGAGAGGACCAGGGCGTGACATTTGTCTTTTAGGCACAGATGGGAAAAGGCCTGCAGAGTCATCCAGATGGACGATAGGGTGGAGTCTGTGCTGGAGGACGGTGGGAGACAATGTGGAGAGAAGGCCAAGGACCAGGATGATAGGCTGAGGAATCTGGCCTCCATTCTGCCAGGCTGCGGGAAGCCACTCATGATTTCAGGGACACGAAAGGCAATCCCAGAAGGCCACCGGGGCATACATCTGTGTGCAGGGCAAAACTAACACAGCAAGGAGCAACCAGAAGCCAGGCAGGCAGTCGGAGTGGATACTGCAGTGGTCCAAGTACCAGGGGAGGAGCGCTGGAATGATGATGCCAGTGAGTCACACGGCGGGGAGTGGAATCGCACTGCAAGGCGGGGCTCAATAGCACTTGGGGACAGACGTGCTGCACATGTCAAGGGAGGCTGGAGAAAGAGAAACAGGACAGGAGGCTTGGGACCCAGGTGACAGGTGACTGATGGTATCAAATATGCCATTCAGCTACACTGGATGGACGTGTTGGAAAAAGAAATGTACATCAACCAGTGCTTTCTGGTTACAACACAAACACCACGATCAGTTGGAAAACAGCAACTCGTTTTGCAATAGCAGCTCCTGGCCAATTCGCTTATGAGTCTGGAACGAGGATGGGGGTGGAGTCAAGGACCACCCCCTCAAGGGGGTGAGAGGACCAGGGCTGCAGGACCTTGTGAGGTTAGCTCTGGGGCATCTAGAAGGACGCGTGGTTGCACGGCCACCATGCCGCCCCCACAGCAGCTCTGCTAGCCTGCAGTCCCAGATGCATCTCATTAAAAGGAAAGCGGGATGGATGGCCGACACATTTTCTGAAGTGGCATTTTCAATGTCCTGAGTCCTGCTATCTTATTTATAAGTGGCACTTTACAAAATAGAAGGGAAAGAGGGGGAAAAAAGAGGGGGAAGGAAGAAAGATCTCCTAGAATCTCAAGCACATGAGGGGCGTTGATCTCGACTCTGCGATTTTAGCCTGTCTAAGACACAGGGTGCGGTGCCTCCTTGAAATCCACCTGAAATGAATTAGCCCGAAGTAAAAGTAGGTGTTTATCTCAAGTCATTGCCTCAAATAGCTGACTACCTGTTGGAAGAAGGGTCTGATCGATGCAAACCAGAGCAGCCGAGCATGAGCTGTTACACAGCGGTTAGTATTGATCAGAGCTAAAGGCTGCCGATAGGAATGCGGAGGGAACTGACAGGCAGAGAAGAGGGAAGGAGGAAACAGCCTTCACTGGTGGCAGCCGTACAGAGGAAAGCCGATAAAAAGTCAATTCCACTTAACTGAATGGCTGCTAACTAAATATTTGGGGGGCCAGAGCCTTCCCCGGTAGCAGCTAGAGCATCTCTGTTCCGGAACTGAGACATCAAAGAAAGCCCGGCGTGGACAGGTGAGATCACTGGGCCCTGGTGATGGATGGAGGGCAGGGGAAGCCCCTGGATGCAGGTGTGTGTGGCTTTGGCCTCAGCCGAGCTGGCTGGGGCATTGGAAGACAACCAGAGAGCGCTGCAGTGGGCAGGAAAGGGACAAGGCGAGGATGGAAATTGTGAAATGGCTGCTGATTAATTAGTTCATTAGAAACCCTGACGCTTTCCCTGGAACTTAAGTAAGGGCTGTTGAAACTGCTGCCTGGGAAGCTGAACAACAGCCGGTCTTATCACAGAGACATGCTGAGCAGTGTCCTGTAGAATAGTTAAGAGCTGGGCGTGGTGCTGTAATTCCAGCAACTTTGGGAAGTTGAGGTAAGAGGACTGCTTGAGTCTGGGAGTTTAAGGCTACAATGGGCCATGATTATGCCACTGCACTCCAGCCAGGGTGATACATAGCAAGACCCTGTCTCTAAAAAAAGTAAAATAAGGCTCAGAGCCTGTAGCTCAGCAGTTAGGGCGCTGGCCACACACGCGGGAGCTGGTGAGTTCGAATCCATCCTGGGCCTGCCAAAAAATGACAACTACAACCAATTGGGGCATTGTGGCGGGTGCCTGTAGTCCCAACTACTAGGGAGGCTGAGGCGAGAGAATTCCTTGAGCCCAAGAGTTTGAGGTTGCTGTGAGCTGTGACGCCATGGCACTCTACCTAGGGCAACAGCTTGAGACTCTGTCTCAAAAAAAAAAAAATAAAATAAAAAATAAAATAATATAAAAACAGAGTAAATAGACTGGTTTAGGAGTTATCATGATGTTCACTGATAACCTCTTTTCTGAAGAATGATGCACTTAAAAGGATTTTTTTTTTTTTAAACACAGCCTCACTTTGTCACCTGGGATAGAGTGCCATGGCCTCATAGCTTACAGTAACTTCAAACCCTTATGCTCAAAGCAATTTTCTTGCCTCAGCCTTCTGGGACTACAGGCGCCCACCACAACACCTAGCTATTTTTAGAGACAGGGTCTCACTCTTACTCAGGCTGGTTTCAAACTCCAGAGCTCAATCAATCCACCCGTGTTGGCCTCCCAGAGTGCTAGGATTACAGGCATGAGCCACCATGTCCAGCCTTGTAATTCTTTTTCTTGAGGTGGGTATGACCATGGAACTTGTTTTGCCTGAGGAAATGTGAATAAAGGGGATGTCTGTCCCTTCTGGGTGGAGGCACTTAATCAACTCTCCTGCTCTTTGCTTGCCACTGTAATCCCAGGCAATTATGTCAATTATGACTGAGAGCAAACCCCTCTGGAATGGTAAGCTAACACCTGGATAATTTTTCAGAATTGCAATGGAATTTTTTACTGTGTCACACTCCTGAATTTTGGGGCTTGTCTGTTACCAAGCATAACTGAATGCTTTCTGACTGATACAATTTTAGAATCTTGTCCCTACCAGTTGCCAGTAGCTGGGTGATTTGGCTCATTGCTTAATTCATCCAAATCTTGGTTTATCTATCTAAAACACATAAAACAGCATTAATAACAGTAAAAATTACCGTGTACTGATGCTTATAAGGTGCCGGCATGGAAAAGGGCTGTGTATGTTAACTTGTGTAATTCTCAAAGTAACCTTGTAAAAAAATCTATTCTTATCCTCATTTTATGACTGTGGAACCCAGAGCTCCGAGAGGTTGAAAGAATTCCCCGCGGTCACATGGTTTAAAAACCAGGTAGAACAGCTCCAAGGCCCTTTGTTTTCTTTTTTTTTTAAATCATTAATTTATAAATATTATGGATACATAATAGTTGTTCCAGAGCAGTTTTTCTTAACCATTTTCCTATCCGGACTTTTAGTTCAGGTGCTTAATAAATAACATTTAGTTTAAGGTTGGAGATAAATTCAGTGATTCTGAATTCTATAAGGGAGGAGAAGAGAACAGGGCAGCTAATATTTCTCTTGACATTTCACACCCCCTACTCCCTTACAAGCCTTTGTAGGGTTTTAACTCATCTGGAATGACATTCTCCACTTGTTCCCCAAATCCTCGTTGTTTTTAAAGTGCCAGATCGATTCCTCACTCATTTGTGATACAAACAAGGGAATTCCTTATCACTGGAAGAGGCTGTCAGAGAAAATTATTCATAGTTGTTTCTCATCTATGCAATGAGGTTAACAACACTCACCTACCTCTAGGTTGCGTAATAGTTTTCATTAAGAAAAATAACTTTACTAGATTCTAGACATCATGCTATGGGATTATATATAACTATAAATCTTCATAGAAATCCTATATTGTATCCATTTCACAGATGAGGAAACCAAGGCTTAGAGAATTTTGATACTTTTTCAGAGGTTTCCCAGCTAGAATGAAGGAAGCTGGTTCAAGGTATGACTCCAAAGTCTCTCCTCTTGTCTATTACATTCTAGTACCTCCCTCCCACTTGCAGAATTAATGTTCAATAGCAAAATCGAGACTGTCTTGGAAGATAGCACCTGGCACATAATGGCACGTCAATAAATAACAATGCATACATATTTATTCATAAATATTTACTGAGCATCTACCATTCAGGAGGTCTTGTGGTCCACACAGTTCCTAAAGGAACTCTTCAAGGCACTGGGAAAACAAATGCCTAAGGAATCGCATCTCGTCCTAGCTGTCTTTCAGGGCATCCCTGGCTGCACTACTGGCCGGGATGTGGGAGCAGCAGCAGTTCTCACCATGCTGGGTTTCCCAGGAGAGTCTTAGCCCTCCTGAAAGTCATCCTCAGCCATACCTTGGCCTGTGGGGGATCTGGGCAGCTGGGGAACTTCCTCTGTGCGAAAGGAACTCTTGGAGAGTGGAGACCACTCATAAGCGCATGGATTGTGATGGTGACATGAGCTGTCCCATGTCCAAAGCTGGTCTTTGAACCCAGGACTGAGCTTGTAGCCTCTACACCTATCTTGTGGCCCTATTCTAGGTGTGGGAAGAAAGGACAGTGGCTGTGAACTCTATGACTGTAGTTGGTATTTACCTAGATTAGCAGATTCCACCCATCCCCTTAAGGAGGGGAAGAGTTCTCAGGTCCTATCAACTGAACCCCTAGGAGGTTGCCTGGAAGAGCGGGCCTTACACAGACCAAATATCTACTCACTTTGGACTGGGCATTGTGCTAGGTATCTCCTGATATCTCTGTGTACCCCTTCCAAGTAGATGACCGGTGAAGGAACTGGGCCTCAAAGAGCTTAATTTATATCTAGTGTACATCCCTATTTTCTGAGCCCTTGTGAGACCATATGACAATTTTGCTGAGTAACAGGCCTTCTAAGGACCTTAAATAAAGGTTCATCTTTGCTCTCTGTCTAGCACAAGCTGCTTGAGAAACGAATTCCAGTTATCGATATGTCAACGTCCTGGGGTGTGCGTGCATGTGTGTGGGTGTCTGTGAGTGTGTACACATGCGTACCCTCTCGTCAATCTCAGACTCCTCCAAGCCACTACTCTGGGTGTGCACCCAGGGGAGTGTCCTCAGGCTATTTTGAGTTTCTGTACTTAACGCTTAGCAACTTTAATAAACTTCATTCCTTTAGGTAGTAGATTTAATATTTTAAGTATGGTTTTAATTACCATCCGCCTCATGTTTTATGCAAACCCAGGAAAAGGGGGAAAAAACATCTAACCCACGACCATTGCCAGCGAGTCCACTCTTTGTGAGAACGAAGGCCAGAATTCCAGAATGTAGAGGCTGGAGCCCTCCCGAAATTGTCTCTTAGGGCATGGACACATAATGCTTAAATCATTTTGAATTTCACTGGGTCCTATTATCCCGGCACAGACTGTAAACATTTATCTTTGGGCTTTCCCAGAAATGTGTCTTATGGAAGGGATTAGCTATTTGCGCATGTAAAGCTCTGAAGGTGAGCTCCTCTAGCTTAACCCACATAATTAAAGTGGAAAATATTTTAGTGGATGGGAAAAAAAAACATTAGTGAAAATACCATGTTTGGGAAGAGAGCTGTGTTCTGATAGTCTCAAGAGATGGCTCTGGGTTCTCAGGCACTTGGTTATAACCCATTTTGCTGTGCGTTCCAATTCTGTTGTCTTTGGGGGCTTTACAGACAATGCTGGGGTCCCTGGCACCGTAAACTCTTCCCTGAGAGAGTTCCCAATGCTCAGCTCTGCACTGAGACAATAGGCGGCTTGAGGGCAGGGAGCCTGACATTGCCAGGGAGCAAGTGGCTGGTTTTATGGGCTCATCTTTACACATGACATTCATTAGCTTTTTAATGCAATGTGTATAAAGAAAATAGCTATTAAAAAAAATGGCTCAGATAAATCCTGTTAGTAGAAAGCAAAACCAATTTGCAGAACTGGGTTTGAAATTTCAAACTCAGAAAAGTACACGAGAAGGAAAAAATTGCTCCTGTCCTCACCCTGGCTTTGTCTTTCTCTACAAAAACTATTACCCTTAACGTGTTCTTGTGATTCCTTCCCTCGATTTAAAAATATCTATTCATAATAAAACTGCAGTGGCACCTAGAAATCCTCATTTTTTTCTGGGTATTGTCTGTGGTCTCTGCTGTAATCCCTGATGTTGGACCACTGTGGAACCAGAACTTGCCACGTAAGCATGGTATATGGAAGCTATTTCTTTGCTTTAAAGATATTCTTAGTTAAAAATGCAAATGGCCAAGGGTAATATTAGACTTTTGTCATCCACTCTCCACAACTGCAGCTTTGTCCTTGAGCTAAGTGTGCTGGTTCTGGAGTCAGACCCCCGACGCCAAAACCCAGGTTCTGCCCCTTTCTGGGTCTTACTAACCACCCTGGGTCTCAGTTTTTCCATCTGTGAAGTGGGGTGATGACAGCACCAGCTTCCTAGGCTTGTCATGAAGATTCGATAAAAGAAAACAAAAAAGGACTGAGAACAGGCATTACATAGCAGGTCTTGAAAAATGTTAGCTCTTGTACCTGGTATATATAATTAATACCTAAATGTATGTAATTTTTATTTCTAAATTTTATTTTAATTAATTACTTAATTTATTTTCTGAGTCTCACTCTGTTGCCCTGGATAGAGTGCTGGGGTATCATAGCTCAAACTCCTAATATACATAATTTTTAAAAATAACTGCCCTTTTGGCATGCTTCCTCAATGCCAGATATGGTCCCAAGTGCTTTATGCATGTGACCCATACATCTTTCATATAGCCTGAAGGAGGTTCTTGCAAAAATCCATTTTAACAGAGGAGGAAACTCAAAAGCTTAATGTCAGTAGCCCACAGTCATGCAGCAAGGTGTCAAGGGCAAGCTGGGCTCTGAGGGCACATCTGGCTGGTCGTCTCTCCTGGGCCAGCTAAGACGGGGTAGTTTCCAGGGGGGCCCACAGTGTAGGAACAGGAGAGGGATGCCTGGAGGACACAGGGAAAGGATTTAGAGGAGCTTGGCCCACAACATGATTGTGTCCAGGGCCAGCACAAGCTCTGACCTCCTTTGTGGTCTCTCACGTTGTCTGGAGCAGGGTGTTGCTAAAAGCCACAGGATCTCAGTCCTAGAATGCAGTACTGTATTCTTGTTCTACCATGAGCTCCATGACCTTGGCAATACCTATCATTTCCCCAGCAAGTTTCCTCTTCTGTACAAGGGGGACCATAAGTCCTGGCTCACCTGCCTTGTGGGGCTGTTATGAGGCCCAGATACAGGAGTCTGGGGATCCTGAAGTGCTCAGTTAACTAGAAAACGTTGCACGGAGAAGCTAGATATTGTTATTGGCTCGATGCATACCTGTGAATCAATTTTGATTTAGAGAGGACCCCAAATCTATGCCTCCTTAGGGAAAATTCTGTGGTGCCAGGGATCCTGGTACTGTCTGTAATCATTTCAAGCCCAGGTAAAGAGACTAAAAGACTGATGGATGGATGGCATTATTATTATTATAGGTTGGTGACAGCACGTTTGAGGAACACATATCTCTTCTCTGCACTTCCACTCCCAGCAACTGGGGTTGAGGTGGGGACTTGGAATTTGTCCTGCTTGACAGTCTGGTCTGCTGCAGGACCACAAATCACATGAAGACACAAAGCCATTGACAGCATCCTGGCCATTTCTTATGGATCCAATACCAATGTCTCGGTTGTATTTCAAGCCAACGTTTAGTGAAGTGGATCAATGCCCCAAGCACATAATGTAACATGATTCTTGGAGAGTTTGATTAATTGTGTCACGGTCATAGCATCGGTTCGGGTTCAACCTTTTAAAAGTTTTATTATTGTATAAAGGGATCAATCAGGAGGAGAGGAAAGACAAATGCCCAGTGTTGGCCGTATCTCGCCTTTGTCTTTGTCACCAAGTGTTCCCTTCCTGGTCACTCCAGCTGGACGCTGATAGAGAAATGGGGGTTCAGGGAGATCCATGGCAGAGCAAAATTTGGGCCAACCCAGAGACACTCAGGTGCGCTGAATGGAAGGTAGGCTATTCCAGTGCTGACCGACCTGGCCTAATGTGGGAAGCACCTGGGGGATGGTAAGAGGTTCAGAGTCCTGTGTCCCTCCACAGTGGTCTAGTGCTAGGCATGGTCTGGGCACATCCTGAGGGTCCTAGTGTATAGCCAAGTGTTAAGGGCTAGCTTGTGTCCCTGCAAAAATCCATATGTTGAAGTCCTAACCTCCAGTATTCCAGAATGTGACTGTATTTAGAGACTGGACACATAAAGAGGTAACTGGGGTTAAAACGAGGTCATTTGAGTGGGCCCTCACCCAGTAGGACTGGTGTCCTGGTAGGAAGAGGAGATTAAGACCCAGACACACATGGAAAAGAGAGCAGGTGAACACGCTGAGGACGTCAGCCGAGACGAGAGGCCTCAGAAGAAACCAACCCCAGCAATACCTTGACCTTGGACTTCTGGCCAAGGTCAAAATTGTGAGAAAATAAATTGCTATTGTCCAAATCGCCCAGTTTGTGGTATTTTATTTGTGATATTTTGGGGGTTCCTGTCCCCTCCCCCACAATTCCTGTTTTCTCTGTCTCTAGAACGCTCTCTTAGGAACTCGCTGTGAAAGCAATCCCCAACAAGGCATTAGTGGATAAGAACTTAAGATTTGAGCCCTCTCTGAAGTACCTGCATTTTAATATGGGATTCTTAGAGCTAGATTGCCTGGAGTAATCTAGGCTGCTGAGATGCATTTGGACTGATGGCTTCCCAGTCATTAGCACGGTAGTAATGGCCAGTACTTAACTATGTGCCAAATACTGTCCTAAGTGCTCTGTCTCTGTCTATCTCTGCCTCTCTCTACACATCTTCATTCATTCAGTCCTCCCAACAGCCCTCTGAGGTGGGTGTGCTGATATGAGGAAACTGAGGCACCAAAGAATTATGCAATGAATGTACCCAAGGTCTTGCAGATAGTAAACAGCAGAGCTAGGATTTGAACCCAGAAAGTCTGACTCCAGATACAATCCTCTTAAACAATCTCCACTCACGTCACCATGAAGGTCCCTACCCTGGTCAGAACAGAGCCCGAGGGCTAGGTATGTTTTCCCATCAAGAGCTACTGGGAACCTTCCTAGGCACTTCTCCGTTTCAAAGTCCCCGAGGCGGTGCCCTCTGTGGGAGATTTTATAAATATATATATATATATATTCCTAAATATTTCTCTTCCCTCTGAGAGGATTATACTTCTCTCGCCCCTCAACATCAGAGTTGGCCATGTGACTTGCTTTGGCTGCTAATAAAATGTGAAAGGAAGTGATGTATGCTACTTCTGAACAGGAGCTTTAAAAGCCATCATGTGGTTTCTCTTCTGCTTTCCAGCGTGAGAATGTTTTGAAGCCAGGGCCAGCCTGCTCCTTCCACCAAGGTCTCAGAATAAAGACAAAACGCAGGAGAGATGTGACTCAACTGTAAAAAATGTTTCTTTGTTTGTTATTGCATTGCTACTTCTGAAAAACTGACCCGTACACGCTCTGGATATTGACATTTTTTGTTTGTTTGTTTTGTTTAGCTGGCCTGGGCTGGGTTCGAACCCACTAGCCCTGGTGCATGTGGCCAGCGCCCTAACTACTGAGCTACGGGCACCCAGCCTGAATATTGACCTATTTAATGTGAAAGGCCAGGAATGCTGTAAAGATAACCTCCTTAATCAATAAGCATATCCTGAACTAACCAATGAACTCTATTATAGTTTATCCAAGCAATCTTGCAAGACAGCTTTCTGCTTTCTACAGATACTTTCTTTTTCCTTTTTTCTCTCTTTTTTTTCTTTCAGAGACAGACTCTTGCTTTATTGCCCAGGCTGGAGTATAGAGGTTGTAATAATAGCTCACCGAAACCTTGAACTTCTGGGCTTAGGCAATCTTTCTCCTTTAGCCTCCAGAGTAGCTGGGACTACAAGTTCACACCACCATGCCTAGCTAATT